CTTAGTGCCGCTTGTCTGTTGAAAACCCCCGTGTTGCGGCTCGGGCCATTCGTCGCCAGTTTGGTTCAACACGGCGACGGCTTCCCTCGTCTATGTCTTCGCCCGCTGATCCCAATCTGCGTGTATCTGGTCCGGAGGCTTTGTCGGCTTGGCGCAGTCATTTTCGCGATGTGCCAGAAACTGCTCCACAGTATCAATGTGGGACACAGGCTACGCCTCAAAACCAGGACCATGCCGCAAGCGTCCGTCGACTGCGTGGGTCTATGTCAGCAGAGACTGGCCACCTGGACTACCCTGTTTCGGAACCTGAGCTCTTGTGCGTGTTGTCACAGCTTCCCCTCGGCCGTGCTGCAGGTCCTGACGGCCTCCCATATGAGGCTTTTCGTGTCGATGATGATTGCATGCGTGCTGCTCTTGTGGCCTTTTTTGAGCCTGTGCGCGTTTGGACGGTTGTCCCGTCTATCTGGCGCAAGGATGTTGTAACACCTCTGCACAAGGGTGGTGATGCAGATCACTTCAACAATTACAGACCCACCAGCTTGTAGTGCTGTAGCTTAAAGATATTCGAGCGATTATTGTTGAAGAGGATGCTTCCTCATGTCAGCCCTCAAATAGATGAAAGTCAGGTTGGCTTTCGGTGGGGCACTGAAGAGCATAATTTACACCCCTTGCCGAAACACTGCGGTTGAGAGCACGAAAGCGAACTTTCTGCGCTTTTGTCGATGTGCGCAAAGCTTTTGATGTTGCTTGGCGAGATGCCGTGCTGGTCCGGTTGGCGCAAGCGGGTATAACAAGGGCGATGTGGAAGATCCTGGATGATCTGCTAACTGAGACGTCGGCTCAGGCTTCGATTATGCCTGTTTGTCTGAACCATGGTTTGAAAGTGCTGGAGTTCGTCAAGGCAGTGTTTTAGGCCCTCTGCTGTTCACGATTCTCTTTGACAGCATCTCCGGGTGTGTTCGCTCAGGCTGCCCCGGTGTGTCCTTGGAAGTGGGCCGACTGCTCCAAGGGTAACGTTATTACCTTACGCCGACGACTTGGTCATTTTGGCTGAGAATCGTAGAGACCTCCAGCAAGCTTTGGACGAGATTGGTGCCTGGGGCCGTCAATGGGGGTTTTCCTTTGGAATTGGGCCTGACAAAACTGCTGTGCTTGTGGTTGGCTCACGGTCTCGCGACCATCAGTTCACATTGCAAAGCCAGTCCGTGCCTTGCGTGTCTGAATATGGTTATCTGGATGTTATTTTCCAGTTATCCAGGACATGGAGCAAACATTGCGTTCGCCTTCTTGAAAAAGATGCACTGGCAAGTTTCATCAATCTTTATCTTGGGCTGAGAATCTTCAGCTGCATACGGCCTTTCGGCGAAGTTTGTTTCAATCTTATGTTCTGCCTTCTATGTTGTATGGCTCGCACTTCCTGAACCCGTCCTCCCTCAAGAAGCTGGATAGGAAGCTACGTCAATTTGGTAGACGTTTGCTGCTGTGGCCATCTGGTGCCCCTGGTGCTGCTGTTCTGGGCGAGCTGGGGTGGCATCCGTTTCTCGTTGAAGTTCAACGTGCACAATTTGATCTATTTGGACGGCTGTCTCTCGCCTCTGCTCGTGGTGTCCATCGGAGCCTGGCGGCCAGTGTTTTTCAGTTTACAGCGACCATCAGCGACCCATGGTGATTCTTGGGCGTGTCAAGTTGCCAGTGACATGTCACGTTTGGGTATTCCCCATCCTGCTTCGCGCGGTATTGGGCCTGGAGGTGACCCAAAAACTGTTCACAGATGGAAGCTCAGTTATGTAAATCCAGCTCTGTGTCGCAATTCTTGGAAGCTATTCTGCGAGGAATGTGCGGCAGTGCCGTCATTGTGGTACAGTTCAGAATGCCATGTGCGCCAAAAATTCTGTTCTTTCGTGCATGGGTCTCGTTTACGCCCATCTGTGGTGAGGGAGTGGACGTTAACGAAATGGGGTCATCACTCCATTGCTGATGGGAGGAGTTCTCGACGTGCTTCTCGCGTGATGCAGCCGTGCTTATGCGGGGCTCGCGAACAAACCTTCCTACATGCTTCACGATACTGCCCTCTGTTTGAAGATTGGAGGCGAACTTGGTTGGCCAGTATTCCGCTTGCTGAGTGACAACTGGTGCCTTCCTTATCGGATGATGAGGATTTACAATTATTGTTTATGCCCGTGAGTCTGCGGCGCACACCTGTTGCGATATTTCCGCACATCATTTTCGTGTCCAATGTATGTCAGGCTCAACGTTCTATAGCCTCGGGCTTGGAGCTTCATGCTCCGTTGTAATGCAATGAGTGTTGATATTTTCACTTGTACATACTGACCGTTTAAACGGTTGTTTCAGGACTCTTGCTTGCTTGCTTGCTTGCTGGGGTCAGGGTTTGAAGAATAGCATTTTGGGGGTTGTGAGCATGGAGTGCCTACATTATCATGAATCCTAGTTACAATCATCTAGATGACGTTCCACATCAGATTCGTCAAAGGCTCCACGGTTCAGTTCATCCAAAGCATTATTCATTTTTTTTCCACGCACCTTTTTCCTCGCCAGTGTCTGCTTCGCGGCTACACGACCTAATAAGCGTCTAGCTCCTACGCCAGCCGGCTAGGGCCTGTTCGCAGGCTGCCCGCCAGCAACTCACCCAACGGCACCTCTTGGTCGTCGGTTGGGTCACTGGGCCCCGCGATAAAGGAGCGAGCAGGCGTGTGCCCGGAGCGCTGCGAAGGAAGCCAGGGCTTTCCAGCGCTGGTTGAGAGCTTGTCGAGCGGCTGCGGCGCACCACGGCGCCCGCTGGCGAGCCCTCGCCCGCGCGAGCAGCCGCAAGAATGTCAGGGTGCTGCGGCTGACCCGCCCGCCAACTTCAACGCCGAAGACGACCAGGCGGCAGCGCCGAGCTTGCCGCAGTTCCGGGTAAGCTCGGTGTTTGCGGTCGACTGCCTGGTCTAGGGCGAGGCCTGGTTGATGGTCAGCCCGTGGGCGGGGCTGGCCATCCCGACGGACTGGGCTCACGATTGTGGCGTCAACGGCGATTTGAGCCCCTTGCCAAATAGGGAGGCCATTGGCGACCACCTCTATGCGGCGTCCGTCGCCCGCTGGTACGTCAAGGTTGAGGTCGTGGAGGGCGACGTGCGACGCCACTCTGGCTCCCGCCTCCTTGCAGATGCGTGCTGCCGCGCGCTCAAGGGGGCCAGCTCGGCGGGCCAGCACGCCCACCTGGGCGCAGGCCGAGCGATGGTCGCCGTACGCATTTGCCACTGAATCATCACCTCAGCCCTTAACCCCTCATAACCAACACCATTAGTACGGCCTGAGCACGCGGGCCGGCAGTGAGGCTTTGCCATGCGTCGACCTGCAGGCATCCTGGTTATTGTTGCACTACTGCGCTGGCCCGCGAGCCAACTATCTCTTGCGAGCTCTGCCCCCTGCCGCCACAGCCGGGTATGCAGGTC